ACTTCTCTGCAAAATAGTTGTGAATGCCAAAGTAGGAGCCAGCTGGAGAGATACGAATCCGATTCGAGCATTAGAACTTGAAACAGAGAACATGCAATATAATTGGTCAAGTTTTTGGAAAGAGATGAACAGAACGAAAGGCATACACTGCACAACGAGAAAACTTAGTACAAGAAGAGAAACAGTGATTAAATGTGTAATGAATGATCTACCAACATTAGAAGAATTAAATAGAAGAAAACCAGAGATATATACATCATCAAACTGTCAAATATGCCAAACAGGTGAAAAGGAAACTCAAGCACACTTGGCAAGCTGCATTGAACAAAAGTGTCTGTGGAAAAGGATCCAAAAGGTAGCAACAGTAACAGCATGGAATGGTCTTAAAGAAACTGAAAAAACCAGAATTCCGCCTCAAGTGCTTTATGAAGCAATCTTTGAAAAGACAGAAGCAAAGGAAATTATTAACAGAAGAGCACTAATAAAAGGGTTAATTACAAACAAAGTAGAAAAAAGGATCAGTCAGATGTTAGACAAACAGGCAACGCAGAGATGTATAGAAATAATAACAAGAACAGTATGGAATACTTTTTATAACCAAGTATAGAGAGTTCGATGTGGAAAAGTGCAGGAATGGGAAAAGAAGATGAACATAATAAGCAAAATGAAGAAAGGCGCTCGAATCAGGAAAAAGTCAGAAAAAAGAATAAAGAAAGATGAATAGACAAAAGAAGAGGAAAAAGAAAAAAAAATAGAAAAAATAAACCGAATGAAGAAGGAAGCTAAGAAGACAATTGATATGCTTATCACAGAAGGGGGAAGACCTTTCTGGTATGGCTTTAAGTAGTTAGACGAGCAGTCTATCTCTAACTGAGATAGTGCGGCAGGTTGCACTTAGGTACCATTAGGGTGGCTGAGTAATGCTAGACTTAGGTATTGGGAAATTCTATGTAATTATAAATGTATATAGTTTCAAGAATCTTAATAAAGTACTAGCGTAACTGCTTAAGGTTAAAAAAAAAAAAAAAAATATATAATAATTATAATTAATTAGTAAATCATTTTTAAAGAAAATAAAAAATAATAATCCTTATAATAAACAAAATCAGAAATTTATATGTTTTTTTATAGTATAAGAATAAAACTTGCTTATATATAAAAATTTTTTTTTATTAGCTAATTCTTTTTTGTTGCTTAATTGAAAGTTGTAGAACTAAATTTTGTGATTTTAATAGTAGTAAAATCATCAAAATTAGTTAAATAGATTATAAGTATAAGTATTTTTCAATTATTTATTTTAAAGTTTTTTCTTAAAAATTGAAACATATGACATTCCACTTACTATATAAGGTAACTAGTCACATGGCTACTAATTTTTATTATAAAATTTGTATTCTTTAATTATGAACTACTAATTAATAAAATAATAATAATTAATTCTATAATATTATAAAACATCTTTATAAGAACAAATTGTTAAACTAGATATCAAATATGTATAAAACTACATATAACCAATTAGGCTGTTAGACTCATTAGAGAAAAAAAATACAGAAATATATTATATCAAGTCATCTGGATTGGTAGTCTGGCCAGAGACTGTTATTTCTGAGTTATGGCTAGTAGAAGATAATGAAGAAAATGCTAAGAAGATATGTATTAGAATTTTAATGAACTTTATAAAAATAGAAATAATGTAATATAATGAGTAAACATATAATCTTTATAACTGCAAGTATTAGATAATTATAATATGTTGCATAAAACTAGATCAGTATGTATAAAAAATAAAAACTTTAGTAAGTTTTCTGTTAAGAATAAAGTAATTTTAAAAATATTAATTAATATCAAGAACTTGGATTAATATAATCTTAAAAATGTTCTCATGATACAAGATAGATTGTATATGCAGAAAGTTTAATAAACAAAACTTCTAACTGGCTTGCAAATATAACATCTAGTATAGAACTTATATAGCAATATATAAGCAGACTACTTAAATTAAATACTAAAAGTGCATATGTGACTAGTTGTAATCTCTAATGTAAGAAAACTTCTAAAAGTGTCCTATATACTTGAATAAAAATATTACATTCTAAAAATAAAACTTTAACATTAAAAAAAAATAATAATAAACTTTATAAAACTAGAAATAGTATAACATAACAGTTAAACAATTAACTCTTATAACTATAAGTATTAAATAATTATAACATGTTATATAAAACTAGATTAATTGTATATAAGATATGACAAATAAGTTTCTTGTTGAGAATAAAATAATCTTAAAGATACTAATAAAAATTGAAAACTATATCTTTATGATATAAGATGTATTGCATATGCAGAGAGTTTAAATAGATAAAACCTGTAGTTGACTTGCAGACATAGTACCTAGTATAAAACTTATATAGCAATATATAAGTGAACTACTTAAATTAGACACCAAAAATGTATATGTGACTAATTGCAACCTTTTACATAAGAAAGTTCTTAAAGGCACTTGTGTTTTATAAACTTGAATAAAATCTTTTTCCAAAAACAATAATTTTAATATAAAAAAAAAATAAATGTATGTTTTCTAAATGCAAGTTATATTAAATTCTTTTTAAAATGCAGATTTAGCTTTGGTTCCAAGTTACATACAATTATAATAAACTTATATTCTCTAAATACAACATTTTTTTTACTTAAAAATTTTTTTCTAAGTTTTAATGAGCTGCTGTATATATATATATATAATTATATAGTTTAAAAAAATTTAACTAGGTATTAAATAACAAAACTATAAAAAAAAATTTACTAAAAAAAAAATTGCAACTTTCTTGTCAAGTTATTTTTTTTAACAAAATTAATTTATTTTAACAAGCCATCAATTGAATTGGTTAATAAACTAGATAATTTTGATTAAATACGTATTTAAAAAAGCAAAGTAATAAAATTCAATTGTATAACTTTTTATAGTCTAAATATTTATCGTTATTGCTGTATTGAATCATCATTAAATATTTAGATTATCTCGTAACTCAGTGACCAAAATCAAAAAAAAATTTGTTATACTGTACTATCACTATCGTTACAATACAGCAATAATATGATAACCGATAACTTCGAGGGGGCCGCGACAGGATCGTGCCCCTGAAAATGGATTAGATTCTTAAAAGTTACACGCATAACGATAATAACCTTAGAACAATTATGTAATAAAATTTCAATCAGATCTAATTAGTTTATAATAGATTTCAAGAAATTTAACAATTTTACAAGACTAAAAAAAGGTGGACATTTTATCGCTTACATTTATTATATAGTAAATTATTATATATTTGCTAAATGAATTATTACAAGTTGATAATTACCTGTTTACGATTCATCATCACAAATTCTTACATAATGATAAATAAAACGAATATCATAGAAAACACCATTGAAATTCACGTTATTATTACATCTCAAAAACTTGAAAAAATTTTATCAAGACATTTATCAAGTACGTAGCTAGTTACGCGAATCTCGTCAAACATGTATTTTCCAAATGTTTTGATAAATTATAACTACGTCTTACTATTTTTCCACAATTGATAAAGATATCTGATAAAATCATTAATTCAGGTTTTTGACAGTATGTAACTTGTTCGCGTTGTGTAATGTTTATTTTTTGTCGCGTTTTCTTTTTTTTGCACATTTTACAACTGCGTCCCATATTGCACGTTTTTAGACATTTCTTAAAAAAAAAAAATTTTGTTACATTTTTTAAGTGATGAATTTTTCACAAAAGGAAAATCATTCTCGGGAAAAAGATAAAGGCTTAATGTCGATGTTTTTATGTTATAAAAAACCCAGTAAGAATCAAAATTCTGAATGTAGAACAAATGCGATTATTACGTAATTAGCTGTAGGGATTTAGATTTGTTTTTGTGGCTTAATTAAAGATCATATGATCATAAGTCCTAAAAATAAATGCGCATATAACGATAATTGATGATATTATAAATCATTATTCATCATTATTTCATTACGTAAAATGAAAAATGAGTGATAATGCTTTTTCCTAGCATTTAGTATGCGTTAACATACACGTGTAACCTTTCCTGTATCTTTTGTTTACTTATCATCTCCTTGTTACACCGCACTGATGTTCCATGATCATCGTAATCACATCACTAAAATAGTCTTTTTAAGGCAATAGAATCACATTTCATATTACGAGAAATAGACTGTAACGCTAACTGATTCATCACACTTTCGTCATTCATCACAGGGAGTCAGAAATATATTATGTTTTATTTATCAGTTATGAAATATTGTTGGTTCAGAAAACAATGATTTTAGAATGACTTGTTATTAATCCGGTTTTTGACAGGTAAATTTAAATTTTCCCGTATAATAAATAACCCTTTGATCAATCCTACTCCTGTTTTTTTCTTTTTTTTTTAAAAACATTTTCCATTTTTTTTTATCACGAAAAAAAAAGCGCGAAATATATCCATAATTTAACTTTTTTTTGCATACTTCGCGTCTTTTGCGTCTTTTATATATCAATTACACTTGTATTCCCCATTCAAATTACATATTCCAATTATACTTATAAGCCATTACATATTTATCTCTTTATTCGGAAATGTCACCAATAACACGTAGTCGAACTAGTCTTCTCCGTACTAGCAATCCCAATTTTCCTACCCACTTGGACTTGGAAGAAGCATATGACCAGTCTGTTCCTCGTATTCAACAAGACGCCAAACAATATCTCGAAATAATTCTCGATTCATATGAAGTTCGTGAACTATACAACCCAATTTCTGAAGAATATTGGTTTGTTAACAATTCCGAGGCATTAAATATGGTAGTTTATTATAAAATGAAAAAATGTTTGTTTATTAAATATAAACAACGTTTTATCAATGCTGGTCTTGAATTGGAATTTATGAAAAATGGTGGTAGTGGAATTGGTTGCAATAAGATCGGCTGCAGAAATATTCATTGTGATGCTTCCAAATATCATTCCGGTGACGATGATAACGTTATTTGTCCAAATTCTTTAATGTATTTTGATAGTGATTCTTATTATCCTGAATTGGATTTTTCTTCGGAATCTTCAACTCCTTATTTAAGTAGAGGAATTTCTATGAGTCGTACTTCTTCAGCTTTATCTATGATTTTCCCCCATTTCATTCCCGAGAAGTTATCTTTTAAAACTGATGATTCTTCAAGTACAATTTTGGGTGACTACGTTAACGTATCTTTTAAAACCGATGATTCTTCAATCACCGATAATCTTGTTAATGATGTTCAATCCACCGAGATTCATATCAATCCACACCTTCATCATTCACATAGATCTTTTCATGATTACTTTTGTTGGTTTATGGATTTATCTCGTCTAGAAAAATTTTGTTATATCTGTGTCTGGTTATTTTTAATTTTAGTTTTTTGGGGATACTTATTCGGTAGTTTTAGCGACCATATCAATGGAAATTTTGGTACCGGTGTTACTAAAGAAATTGATGGTGCTGTGAGAGCTCAAGTTCAAGAATTTGTTGAAAAAGAAATGTTTAAGATTTCAGATACCACTGAAAAAAATGATGATGATGATTCCGATGGTTTGGCTGGTTTGGTTAGGAAACAATTAAATGAGGTAACTATATGCTTATATATGCGCATATATTTAATATTTATATGCATGTATTTAATATTTATATGCGTGTATTCATATATTATAATATTATTAATGTTTACATGCGTGTATTCATATATTATATTATTTAATCATAATCATATTTATATTATTTAATTATATTCGTGTTAATCTAATATTTATTCGATATTTATTCACTTTCTTTAAGGTTATTCACGAACAGCTCGAAAAAATGATGGACGGTACAAGCGCTGACTATGCACTTTACACGGGTGGTGCGCGGATCATTCCTCACTTAACAACACGTGACTACGAAGCATGGCCCACTAAATCTTATCAAATACTATGGGGCCTTCTCACTCGCAAAAACGTTATAAAAAGTAATAAGGCTTCAATTGTTATAACTCCAACCGTTAACGTCGGTGAATGTTGGTGTTTTAATGGAACTAAAGGTCAAATAGCTATTCGTCTTTCCCGGAGCATTGTGGTAACGCATATAACCTACCACCATATTGGCCGTCAAGTTTCTATTGATCCAATCTCTTCGGCTCCAAAGGACTTTGAATTATGGGGTGTTATCGATGATTACGATGATGATTATTATGAAAATGACACTGAAAATGCCGATATGAATAAAATGAAGGAAAGAACAAACGATGTTGAATATTCTGATGATTTTGTTCACTTTTTGGGCGAATATCAATATGATATTTCTGGAAGATCGGTTCAGTCCTTTAACGTACCAGACTCTATTGCCTTTAATAATAAAAGGGTTAGATCAATTATGATGAAAGTGAATAGCAATCATGAAAATCCTAAATTTACTTGTCTTTATAGACTTCAAGTTCATGGTATTAACCCCCTATAACCCATGATTCATTAAACCTATGATCGGATATGCAATTGGCGTTTTATCGATGAATAGATAATATAATTTGTACATATCTTTTCCTTTTTTACAAATTTTTCTTTTTTTTTTTATCTCCATTTCTTTTTTTAGATTGGTTTATTTATCCGATTTTTTTTTCATTTTAATGTACTTTTTTTGTAAATAAAATCATTAAGCTTATCTGTCATTTTGTTGTCTAAGCTAATTATTGTTAAGATGAAATTAAGATGAAATTAAATGAGAGCGATGTTTCTTTTATATTTATGCGATCACAACTTTCTAACATATGCTTGCTTAAGTGATCGTATCAAGATTAATGAACATGACCCTGCAAATATATGACAGCTCATTGTTATTGTTACTAAATGTACATATTTGCTTTGTGATCATCCGATTGTGTGTACGTAAGATCACACTCGATTTAAATAATAAAAAAAAGGTTGTTGGTGTTCTTCCCGTATCTTGATAATTATAATAACCAAATTTTACAATTTTTCATAGCATATTCTTTATATAATCTACAAACTGTCTTTTTAATATATACAAATAATAGAATAAGTAACCTCTTAAACTAATACTTTGTTAAAATAATATGGAAGTAAAGCAAGAAGTTTTGGTTATTGGAGAAATTTTATACGCAAAGAAATTTTATGAAGAATTAAAAGAAAGATATAACATTAAGGTGTGTTTTCTGTTCAATTTATTGATAAATTCGATGATTTCTTATGATGTCATGATAAAAGTATTAAGTTTGTTATATTATCACATTTTATTATATATATTTCTAGGTGTTTGATTCTACGAGAAGAGAATTCCTCGTTGAAGCTACAGCGAAATATGAAAACGTGGTAGCTATCTTATTGGCTAATGGAGCTGATCGGGTATTCATTATTATTTTATTTTTATTCGTTATTATTTATTATTTATTATTTATTATATAATTATTATAAAAATTATTATCGCTATAGTTCATAGACAAATTTGATACTGAAGTTCTCGATTCACTTTCACCTGCTGTAAATGTAATAATTGTAATTGGTGATTCTTCTAAACTTGTTGATGTTAAAGCTGCAACTGAAAATGGTAATTTCTTTTTACAAGACATAAATGAATTATAATTATTTATTATTAATATATCTGTAATTTTCTTGGTTGTTATAAAGGTGTATTTTTAGCGGATACGGTTACTTCTCTTAGTTCGACTAAAGGTATTTATGAAATTTGACTCGGTTTTGCCCTTATATATATATATGTGTTTATAAGTAAGAATGGAATTTAAGTGGATTTGGAATTTCCTAGTTAAATTAGGATTAGGGTAAGGGTGTTCATATGATAAAAATCAACAAAAAATTCTTGTTTTATATAAAAATTCCGAGTCCATTTAAATTTCGATTCCACTTACAACATATACGTACATAATATAGTAACATGATCTGCTTATATATTTAAAATATTATAGAGGAATTAGAGGTAACTTTAAAAAATTTTCACAAGTTAATTTATTTTTTTAAAAAAAGAAAAATTTTGTTCTTTCAACATTATTAACACTATACTTCAAAAAATAGCTTGAAGCATTAAACAATCTTGATTTTGCATTAATCACGGGTGTACCTAGAGATCCGGTAAACAAAATTGATGAAGTAGCAGAAATTGCTGCTGGTAAAACTGTTGAATATATTAATGCAAGTGGCGAAGTAGTTGATTTAGATATTTCAGATATTCAAATTACATTGTGAAAAATTATACATATTTTTTTTCGCCTTTTTTTTTCCTACGATGGTCATGGTACGATTAAAGTAAATTCTACTTAAATTATATTGCGAAATTAAATAAAATGTGTAAAATGTGCAAATGTAATATTATATATGCCAATAATACTACATTCTACATGTTATTACATTAATACCCTACATATGTTTGATATGATCTTGCGTTTATACACTACGTTTTGTATACTTCATTTTATATACGTATTAGATAATTTTATTTAAAAAACTTGCGTATTGATTACTATAAAACTTTAATAACAAAGTATAGCTCACTGGTTACTATTAAAAAATCTGTACAGTGAATTTTCTAGTAAGAGTAAGTCTGTGTTATTTCTTTTTTTCTCTATTTCTATGAAATAAACAAATATAATTATTTCAAGTTCCATTTATTTTTAAAAAAAATTAATTAATTACTTACTTTGGAACATCAGTAATATTAAGCAATAACGTTTCAGAATCCAATAAAAGTCTATTTTGTGATCGTGATAAAATTGATGCAATTTCTCGAGCTGTCTCTATCCTACGCAATTCAAGAAATCCTGGTTTATTCTTAATAGCTTCACCAATCAATTCCGCTGATTTGGCTTCTCCTTCGGCTCGAACAATAATCGATTGTTTTTCTTGTCTAGCTCGTTCGACTACAAAAAATGCCCGTTGTGCTTCCTGTTGTGCAATTTGTTTGGCTTCCACTGCATGTGTAAATTCCGGTGAGAATGCTACATGCGTGATTGATACATCATCTAGAACGATGTTGAACCGGAGTGCTCGACGCGTCAAGTTTTCACGGACCAGACGTGATACCTATGGATTATACACAAGCAAGAAATCAATCGTGCTTTTATCGTTGATAATTAATTAATTATCCTCTTTAAATTATTTAGTTCTCTTACTATTATGTATTCATACCCGTTCTCGTTGTGTAATCAATTGAGATGCATTAAATTGTGCAACAACTGATTTAAGTACTTCATTAACAATTGATGGAAGAACTCGTTCATCATAATCCGTTCCAAGTGTACGATAAATTGTGGATAATGATTCCATTCTGGGTCTTGATAGGACACGACATGTAATATTCACCATTTGAAGATCTATTATTTTTATTCATTAGTCTCGTAACCACGTGTCATCACTTACGTTTTTACCCCGAATTTCAATTACGTACATACCTTTTGTACCCGTCAAAGATGCAATGTTTCGTGGTTTTGCCCTCACATCATAAATAATAGGTGTTTCAAACCATGGAATCATAAAATGTGTACCTTCAGTGTAAATTTCTTTTCCTACTCCAAAAAGTCGTGTATATTTGATCGCTCGATGACCACCATCAACTAGTAATAAAAGAGAAGAATTGAGTTATATAATATCAACAGATTAGATACTTAAAATTCGATAAACTTTTTATTCTACCATCAGGTAGAAATTTAAAGTATAAGTCTAATTACCGTTAAATAAGCTCGCATTGATCAAAACACCGGCTGCACCTAACGCTAGTAAAGCTCCTGCACTAGTAATTACTCCTTTACTACCACCTTTTGGAATCATGTTACCAAATCTATTCATTCCTCGTCCCGCCATTATTTTTTTTTTTCTTCAAAGAATTTTTTATCTAAATAATGTAACGGTGGCAGTTCAACATTATGCAGATCATAAAGATTATCTCGAAAAACATATCGGGGATTGGGGTGTTGCACATCATATGATTTAATATCATAGTGCAGCACTCATGGAAGGACATTCGTCTGATTGGCTGATGTAAATCAATTACCCGGGTAACTTATTTATACACTTTAAAGTACTTTTTGAGAATTCAACGTCTCACTAATAAAAAATACGATTTTTTTTTTTACCAATAGCTTCGTTAGAGAGTGAATATTCACTGTGCAAAATAATCGGAAAATAATCGGTAACCTGAAAAGTTTCATTTAGAAGACAAAGATGCCACCAATTAATACTCTTACTAGACCATGTGTAATTACTATATGCCGTGGAAAGTCGAACAACTGGAGAAAAGTAACTGATTTTCTTGTTAACAAAGGTCAAGCTAATGGCACTTTGCCAACTTATGTTCATTTAGGTAATACATTATGCTTGAATTGTTATAACAGAGTCATGTTATATTTTAGTAACATGCTTTAACTAGTGCGAAGCTGTCTAAAATGATGAGATTAAAATTACCACTGGGGGTGTAGTAACTTAGTGAAGTGGATAAGTTGTCATTCTTCCAAGTGGTAGATTGTAAGTTCAAAACTTATTGACAATAATATTTGAATAAATATTTATATAATATATAAATAATATTACAGCAATAGTATTTTGTTAATTAGTTGGAATAAGATATTTGTAATTATGGTCATATTAGCATAACTGGCAGGTTATAAGGTTTTGTGTAACTTTTATTATATAAAGGAATGCAAACTGGTACTGAGCAATGTAAATCTAAAATAAGTTTTCATAATTATGTAAATTTATAAAACTAGAAAACCAAAGTTTATTTGAAAATTCTAAGCAAAAAAATAACAGATTTTTGATGATATTATTATAAAAATTAGATTTAAAAAACAAATATTAATGTAAAGAAATTAGACAAACAAGAACTTCAGATGAGAGATATTACCAACTAGGTTATCAAATTTTAAATTAAAAAGAAAAAAATATTAAGTCAGTCTTAATATATTAAAAACAAGTCATAATTTTTTTAAATTATTTGAATTGAAAGTTTGAGATTAAAGCAAGAATATACTAAAAGTACTAGAGATATGTTATGAAACTAGTACTGAGGTTTGAATAAATTCTATAAGAATAGCCTTTATTAATGTTTTAAAAATAAGTAAATAGTTAATAACAAAGAGTCTTTTACATCTTACTAACAAATAGCATATTCTAAAATGTATAATAGTCTGAAAATTAGTACAAAAAAGATAGGTACTATACTGCTCAAATGGTATATTAATTAGGTATATACAAAAGGTTAGTTGGGGTTATATCATTACAGAGCAGATGATCAGAGAGTTTAAATAAATAATCTTTTTTTTTTTTTTTTTAAATATTAAGGTGAGTACTTGCGACCCAGGATTTTATTGATAGTACATTCAGCTAATGGT